AGCTGTCTTCAACGCCCTCAGAAGACTAAAGATAACTCTCAAAAAGTGTCATTACGAGCTCGACCGAGTCAACAGTGCCACGACAATCGCTAGCCGACAGACGTACGCTCTCGAGTTCTCGGTACATGCACCTTCTAACAAGGAGAAATGCATCTTCATAGATGAGAGTGGTTTCAACCTTCATCTGAGGCGAACTCAAGCTCGCTCAAGAAGAGGGACGCGCGCGAACGTCGTGTTACCCACAGTCAGAGGTCGCATGGTAACCCTGATTGTTGCAATGAATAACCAAGGCGTCATCCATTCAAAGACCATTAACGATGGCACCTGCAATGGTGCGAAGTTCTCAGCGTTCGTCGAGGAACTGGTGGCGCGTATAAGCTGCATAGTGGAGATGAACGGCGCGTGGCTGATCATGGACAATGCCAGAATCCATATGCCTGATGAGCTAAGGAGGATCCTTGGTTCGTCTTATCACCTGCAGTTCTTGCCGCCCTACTCGTACATGCTAAACCCGGTAGAACACGTCTTTTCAAAGGTGAAAGCGTCGGCGAGACGCCTGCTTATTAACCCCACACCATAGCAGACGCTGAGCACGGTCATTTAGGACAGCGTTGGGATGGTAACGCAGCAGGACTGCATGAACTGCGTTCTCAATACACTGATGAACCTGACGAAAGCGACAGCCGGACAACCCTTCGTCAACTGGTCTTTGCTATGGTTACTGCCTTATTTTTTGTTAATACACCATTTCAGTTTCAAAATGTGCGTTTTCAATATTAACAGTTGGCTTAGCGTGTAAAAACAGGACGGTCACCGAGAATTCGAGAGCGTACGCCTGTCGGCTAGCGATTGTCGTGACACTGTTGACTCGGTCGAGCTCGTAATGACACTTTTTGAGTTTTATCTTTAGTCTTCTGAGGGCGTTGAAGACAGAGGATACTGATAGGTTTATCCCATCCTCTCTCAGGCGCATCTGCAGCTGCACCAACGTGTCCTCAGAGTGCCGTTCAACCGCTTCTTCGACACGCTGCAATACATTGGGAGTCAGCTTCTCCCTATTGTTTCCACCACAGGTGCGCTGTGTATTTGAGCCTTCTCGCTTGTAGGCATTAATGATGTTCCTTGCCGTACTCGCGTTAACACCGGCGACTTCAGCGGCTTCCCGAGTAGTTTTGCCGTCGACCAGCACAAGTTTTGTGAGAATTTCTCTTTGCGCAAATGATGTTCGCCTGCAGTGCCGTCGCGTCGGACACCAGCTCTCCTGTTGTTCGCCACTCATTTTGGTCGTTTCGTGCAGCACGGAGCTAATAAAGCTAAGTTGTGTTGAGTGGGACCATTATCGTGTGCTCGGCTCCAATAGTGGTGCCGCTGCATAGGTCGGTCCACACACCCAGACAAAACACACGAATTCCTATGGGGGGGTGTAGGGGAAAATAGGTCACCGATTTTGATCGAGGCGAACGGCACTGATGTCAAGAGAAGAGCTTACACAATCACCCGCTACGTACGCAGTTCGGTTACATTATCGTGACCACAATGTGGCCTGAACATCGTGTAATCGGCCCACTCCTCAGTAGTTGATATGTTGCAACAATAGGCTATAGATCTAGACTGGATTTGCTGGGGGTCATTACAGCCTACGCTGATACAATAACGTGGCAGTTGCGAAAGCTAATAGAGAGACTGGCGAATCTGGGACACCGCCTACCTGCTTCATCCGACATGGTCCCATTGACCGAATCGGACAAGGTTCTCTCTAATGAGAATAACGGTGCACATTGAGATTGCGCATCGCAATCCACTCACAAAATGATTGATACATAATTACGATTCGGAAGTCCGACTTTCCAATTGTCACACACCAACACAGGTTGATGCGTATGGGCACTGCACACCAACTAGGCGAATGTCAATGGGGAGAGGGGAGCGTAGTTCAGAACTTCGGTCGCTGCTCACGATCAAGCAAATGTTTTACAGTGTAGCCCGCTGCTTACACAATGCCGGTGTATTAGCGTCATCACAATGTATATGCTGAACATCATTCAGCAGTCTTACTGCTCGTTTCTTACCAACAAATTGGCGAGTTGCTACTTAGATTGCAACGTGTCCAATTTGTTTTGCAAAATGTCCACTTTGGTTTGCAAAATGTCCACTTTGGTTTGAAAAATGTCCAGTTTAAAGTGAAAATGGTATATATATATATATATATATATATAGGGTACGAAGGGTACGAAGGTATATATATATATATATACATATATATATATATGTATATATATATATATATATATATATATATATATATATATATATATATATATATATATATATATATATATATATATATATATATATATATATATATATATATATATACCTTCGTACCCTATGCTGAGTCTGATGTTTCATCTTGATTCTTTTTCACCGCAGTTGGGCTAAACTGACTTACACCTAAACTACTTCTTTTTATGCCGGCTAAATTTCATTCCCCTTTATTTGGTTTGTTCTGCCTACCTGAATAATCTTCTATTGACTGGGCACGTTGCTTACACCAATCGCGCTTATCTTCGATAACTTTGTTGCGTTTGTAGCAGTTTTATGTAATTTGTGGACATTTTTTCTTTATCGCAGGTTCGTTGCTAACCAACTTTCTTCATATGTTAATTTAGTGAAGCGTTATGCCACTGTGTCTGTATGCATTATTGAATTTGTTTTATTTCGTCTTGTCTTTTCAATTGATTGGCTGTTGCTTGATATCCCCGGTGTGGCTGCGCTTGATGTGCATGTTGACAAGGTGCCCCATGCTGCGGCTGATGTCATGATGCTTCTTCAACACAGTTGGGCCAAACCGACTCACAC